TGAGCCATTTATCCCTCCGCCCTTCAATTAACCCCACATGTGTTTATTGGCCAGGTTGGCACAAGAAACTAACTATCTCAGTGTTACAACTGCCCTTCTGACTCCTGTAATGGAACTGTTCTGAAAGGGAAGGGTTAGGTAGGCACCATCTAGACCTTCTGGTCTCAGGGTTGTGGAAACTGATGGTCACAGGATCCATTAGTTTATGGGACTCCCTCCATCGTCTGATTTTCATGACTCTTTTTTCTTTTGGACAGGGAGATATCAATAGTTTCACCTTAGATGGCCACCCATCTTAGGATTTTTATTGCATGATTTTGCATAACCATGATTTTTTTCAACTTCAGATCAGAGGCATATCTATGGGGAAAATGGTGCCTTTGGCAAGCACTGAAACTATACCCAATCCGAAAATCTGACACCATCTTTTAGATAACTTAATAATAATCATATTATCAGCTCAAAAATGCAAGTCAAGCTTCTGCTATTTTATATAATGCATGATGGTGCTGCATGAAAATTATAGCTGCACCTTACTTGCCTTCATTTGTCTATTAAAAAAACAACAACTCCATGCCATTGAGTCCAGATCAATTCGATGTTTGGGGTATAGCAGCCCTACAGGATAGGGTAGAACTGACCCCTGTGGGTTTCAGGACTGTAACACTTTACCGAAGTAGAAAGCCCTGTCTATTTCCCACAGAGCAGCTGTTGGTTTCGAACTGCTAACCTTGCCGATCACAGCCCAATCTGTAACCACTGTGCCATCAGTGCTCCTCAATTGGTCTTTAGTATACTTAAAGTCAACCTCGACCCTTCCTTTGCTCTCTACATGCTGCAGAGCCAGATCACACCATGTTCACCCATGGAAACTCTCAAATGTGAAAGTACGTTTTAATTTGCTGAAGGAGCTCTCGTAGCTGGTGGTGGAGCAGGGAGGATTCATAGAGACTGCTAGTGGTGGCCCCTTTCGTATGGCAATGAAGCTGAGTACCAGGCGGTCCAGAGCTTAGATGCACCTCTGCTCACCCTATGCACCATCTCATTCTAGCATTTGGAGGAAGCTCTCTGTGCGTTCAGATCATCACTTTACAAGGTTGGAATGTGGGGGAAAAAACAATGCTGTTGTAGAGAAAAACTGAGAAGATTACATAAGGTGACATATTGCATTCCCAGCGCGGTAGCTGATAAAGGTATTTTCTAGACTTTCCAGGTTCATTTCATGACATTGAATATGCCGCATCCCGAAAGGAGCAGCCTTCCTTCCAAGAACAGTGTCCCTTGAACATAGTTAGTGAATCTCTGGCAGGAGGATGTCTTAAGGTGGAAAGAAACAGGAAGGCCAACCATGTGATTTTTGTACTGATGATTACCTAAGGAAAATCCTTTCTTCTTGTATGCACGGGGAGGCTCCAAAAGGCTCATGGGAAAATTCCATTATCTTTCCATTCCGCTTTCTACCAACTTCCCTCTTTGTATTTTTAAAGGTTGACCATGTGCACATTTGAGGTCTGCCCAGAAGTCTGGTTACACAGCAAATGCATTGCCAAGCTTGCAGTTGGGTTTTTTTTAATATTTTTAATTTATCATGTATTTTTTATTTTAATAAATCATTTTATTGGGGGTGCTTTACAGCTCTTCTAACAATCCATACATCAATTGTATGAAGCACATTTGTACATATGTTGCCATCATCATTTCCAACATCTTGTATAT